CTCAGTGACCCATAGATGTTTCTGTCCCTGTAACACTTGGTGACACTCGTTATAGCTTGTCATACCAGTAAAAGACCATTGTCTTGAATTGTATTACAAAATAAATGATGCAAGCTACTGGCTTGGACCTGCCTGTAACTCCCACGGGCCTATGTGTTAGAAGAGATACCAGCCCTTATGGTCAAATATCAGAGAGTGACGTTCACTGTCCACACGGTACACTGGGACCCGTTCCTTTGGAGCAAGCAGATTTCGTGTTGCAGGAGAATGCTGTCCTGCTCAGAAAGCTCTGCGCTCCAAACAACCTGGGCATCAGACTACGAGCCCGGCTCAACTTCGCCCAGGTCTATTTTGGACTAATCTGACAGTCCTGAGCAGCGCTAAGGCCCCACATACTCTTGGATCGTGACTACCTTGGGGCAGCTGCTAGAACAAGGTTTGGCCCAGTTCACACGGGGAGACTAAACTCTGCATTCATTTTAGGTGATCTCTAGGTCTCTTTCTGAAGGAGATGCCACCAGGAACCCAAATCCCATGGTGATGGGCACGGTATAAATACAAAATAGAGCAGAATGGGCTTGTCTACACAAGGAAGTTTGACCAGTTATACTGATGTAGTTAAAATGATATAGTTATACCAGTATAACCTCTCTGTTATTCTTATGATTATATCCTCATATGTTGTACTCTTCTTCCAGTACGAGTGGCTTTTTTAGTTCAACTTAAACTTCTGCCCAAGTGACATAAACCAGATTGGAAAATGCGCTGGACTATTGGACTAAGAGTTCACATGTGTGTGTGTCACACCAGTAGAACGACATCAGTTTAAATCCACATTAATCTTATACCTCATGTAGACAAAAGTGCAAGCTCATTGGGCCAGGGTCCCCCATTTTATTCTATGTGTATGCAGCACGAGGATTACCATGAGGTGGCTGTCCTGGGAATTCTGTGAGGGTGCTTGGTATATGCTGCCAGCTGTCCAGTTTTATGGGCTCATGATTAACCCCGGGGGGGGGGCAGTTTTTTGTACCTCAGAGGTGGTGCAGCCCTACCTAGAATATAGCAGCCATGGTTGTGGGTGTTGCTGAAACTCTCGGGAATAGTACTGTAATACAGGTTTCAGAGTAGCAGCCGTGTTAGTCTGTATCCGCAAAAAGAAAAGGAGGACTTGTGGCACCTTAGAGACTAACACATTTATTTGAGCATAAGCTTTTATGAGCTACAGCTCACTTCATCGGATGCAGTGAGCTGTAGCTCACGAAAGCTTATGCTCCAATAAATTTGTTAGTCTCTAAGGTGCCACAAGTCCTCCCTTTCTTTTTACTGTAATACAATTAACCCTGAGCATCATGCCTCTGCTGGCATAAGATATCTGCTGCTTTCTGCTCTCCCCACAGCTTCACTATGCCACAAGGATAAATGAGAGCCCTACCATCAGTGCTCCCCAAAGGGCAACGGGACCAGACTGCTGCGTGCAGGGGAATCTGCAGCAGAGCCCCGGGGAATATTCCCTGCAGAGGTGCAGCAGAGTGTGTGGGGCAATATAACCCGGCCACCCAGCCCTCTCGCGGCCAGGGCCTTGCCCGCAGGTGGGCAGGGACCCCAGGCCCAAGGGGCTGCCGCGCCTACCTGGTCCCCAACGCTCCGATCCAACTGGAGCCCTTGCCCGAGACAGACGCCCAGACGCCCCGGGGAAGGGCGCTCAGGGAACCGGCCCAGCGCGCTAGGAAACAACTCAGGCAGGAGCAAATAGGCCGGCCCCGCCCCTTCATGCAAATCGCATCCTGCCCCGTGCCCGCTGAGCCAATAGGCGGCGGGGGGGCGGAGCGTGGCGGCAGGACTTGCCCGGGCATGTGGGAGCCATTGCAGCAGCTGCTTCCGGGAAAGCCACGTGTGGGCAGCCGGCTCGCTGGGTAAGAGATGCGGGGGGCCGGTCGGGGACAGGGAGCGACCCAGTCGGGAGGGCTGGGCAGAAGGAGGGGGACCCAGGTAGGGGGCAGAGGGCTCGTAAGCACATGATCTCTCTCCTGCTATTCCAGTTTGAGTCCTTCCGTCCCAGGCCAGAGCTGGCACCGCGGAGCCAAGCCGTGGGATTGGGATAAGCGCCAGCTATGGTCGTGCTAGCTCATAACCCCCCACCCCCTTACCCTCTCGTGGCCGTATTACTCCACTATGCCTGGGGTGATGCTGGGGCCCCCAGGCCCGCGTTATGACTGCCGCAGGCTCTTCCTGCGCTCTGGACCGTGGGCCCCGCCCTGCCCTAACAAGGCCTGACTGGGTGACCAGCTATGGTAAACCCTGTGACCTGAAGCAGAGCTCTGCGTAGTTTGTAAGCGTGTCTCTGTCACCCACAGAGATTGGTCCAGTAAAAGATATGACCTTACCCACCTTGTCTCTCTAATATTCTGGGACTGACATGGCTACAACAAGACTGCATGCGATAAACCCAAAGTGGGCACATCATGTGCTATCTCAGCTCAGCTGTGGGAATGGGATAATCCCTTTCAAATCCAGGTGAGGAGCATCTCTACTTACCAGGCACTGACTAACCCTGTGTTGTGGGTATCTTTGGCAGGATGCCTTCTGGCCAGGGTCTAACGCCAGGTGTTATGAGCACAGTGAAGGTCTGTGAGGTGGGGCAGAAGGGTGCCGATGGCCGGTTTCTCGGGTACTCCAACTCCAGAAGGGATCTGTGCTGCCCTCGCACCAAAGGCCACCTGGCTCGCAGAACAGATGTGGAAGATCGTGGCTTGCTGCAGAGCCAGAATAAAAAGAAGAGTCGGAAGCACCAGCGGTTTATGGCGCACAGGGCTCTGCTGGAGCAGAGGGGACTGTTGAGACCCACACTGGGACACAGGACTGATCCAGTGGCGTTCACAGTGCCCAAAGAGGGCCTGCTAAACAGGGAAGCCAGCAGATGTGGCCAGCCAGCCAGCGAGGCTGTATCTCTCTTGAAAAATCAGTCTGGGGGGGAAGTCCATGTAAAGCTCACAAAGCTCAAGCGGGCTCTGATGCAGTCTCTGCCACTCCCTTTGGAGGGTGCAGGTGGGCAGTGCTCCCTTTCACTTTCTCAAGACTCAGAGAGCAGGTTACCTTTGCCTGGCAGCTCCAATTCCTTGTCCCGCTCGCTGCAGAGACCTGGGAAATGTGTGGCCATTGATTGTGAGATGGTGGGCACAGGCCCTGGCGGGAAGCTGAGTGAGCTGGCGCGATGCACGGTGGTGAACTACAACGGAGATGTAATCTATGACAAATACATCCGGCCAGAGCTTCCCATCGTGGACTACAGGACTCGCTGGAGTGGGATCACCAAGCAACACATGCAGAACGCTACCCCATTCAGTGTTGCACAGAGAGAGGTAAACAAGAGGCGTGGTGTGCATATCTGTACAGTCTGAACAAGGGCTAGATTTTATCCCATCTTTGGGCAGCTGTCAGTGCACTGCTCTGCCAAGTCCAAGGCTGTCACTGTTCTAAGACCCAGTGGCAGGTGGCATGCAAACAACCAGAGTCTGTCACCTGCCCCCCTCTCCTTCCAGGCTTTCCCAGGAGATATTAGAAAAGCAGCATGGTCTAGAGACATGAACGTAGGACTGGGAGCCAGGAACTCCTAGTTTCTAATCCTTGCTCTGAAGCTGGCTTGCTGTGTGTCAGCCTTGAGGTGAGAGATTCTGTATCTCTCTGCATCTTTCCCCCCCCCCCCCCACTTTTCTCCCCCTTCCCCAAATTTCCAGCCTGCCCTGAAACCAGAGGATGCTTTGGAACTGGTCTTCTCTGGGAGATGTAGCCCTGCTTCTTCATTGATTTGTGATTGAATAGCTATTACTGGGCAGTTGGGGTCTGTGACATCAGAGACTAGTTGTGGGGTTAGATAGAGAGGGAGAAATCAAAATCAGTGCAAGGAAGGACTTCTAAGTCCCTCTTTTACTCCCACTGTGATGCCCAACTAACCACCTCTGACACTTCCAGATCTTGAAGATCTTGAAAGACAAGATTGTGGTGGGACATGCCATCCACAATGACTTCCGAGCCCTGAAATATTTTCACCCCAGAAGCCGGACTCGAGACACCAGTCGAATCCCTTTGCTGAACCGGAAGGCAGGACTCCCTGTGAAAGCCAGTGCCTCTCTCAAGAGCCTGGCAAGGCAGCTGCTTCACAAAAGGATTCAGGTAAGGGGCCTTCTGGGAATGGAAAGCAGGATGTGGGGAGTTCTTAACCCCTTCACTGCTGAGATGGCTAAGGCTGCAATTGGATCTGTGTGGGCAGACCCAATGGGAAACCATGTGGGCATAAGAGTCTGCTTGTGAGAGGCAGGATGGCCTATTGGTTAGGGTACAAGTTGGAATGTGAGAGACCTGGGTTCAATTCCCTGCTTCAACACAGACTTCCTATGTGACCTTGGGCAAGTCATTTAGTCTCTGTGACCCTCTGTTCCCCATCTGTAAAAAGGGGATGATAGCACTGCCCTGCACCACCAAGGTGGGAGAGTAAATCCATCAAAGATTTTTGAGGTGTTCAGGCCCAAATGCTCAAAGGTATTTAGGCATCTTGCTCCCATTGACTTCAATACCTCTGGGCCACAGATACTGTGGTGGGGGGGCAGGGCAGAAAGTACTTCAAACAGACTGATGTGCAGATCTGATTGCAAGATGGAGGCCTTGGTGTGTTCAAAGCCCAACAGAATCTGATCCAAACACCACTTATCCACCGGAGCAACAGCACGTTTTGCTGGGAGCTTGGCTCTGGGGCCTTCACGAGCCCTCTCCTCTAGCATGGCCTTTTCTCTTTGCCCTCAGGTTGGCCAGAAGGGACACTCGTCGGTGGAGGATGCTCGGACTTCCATGGAGCTTTACAGACTGGTGGAGGTCCAGTGGGAGCAGGAGCTTGCCAGCTGCCACCCCTGCAGTCCCCCTCACACTCCTACGGACAGCTGCACAGACCACTACATGGAGGACCAGTACTGGCCCAAGGACCTGAATATAGTCTGCAAATGAAATGCTCAGTCTCCATCTTCTCCTTGACGGTTTTTCCTTCCAGTAGCGACATTGTCACACCTTTGGATTTTAAACCGAGAATAGCTGTCTGCTCCAACTTAATCTTTGCTCCCCCAACATTGCAGCTTGGTGGTGGTGTATGAGAGCCTGAAAACGACACTGATCAGTCCAACTGCGTGGCCCAAGCTGGACAAAAAGCAAATGTAGGATGAGAAAATAAGCTTTTAAATACTTTCAGCTTCATTAACTTGAAGTGTTAGTCAGAGAGGGAAATTAACCCAACCCCCCCTCCCCCCCCACTTCTCACCTGCCAATGCCCCTCCCATGTTTGAACACTAGGGAGAACTAAGATGAAATGTGAGGCACGTCTCTGCCCTTCTTTGGCTGCTATGGAGCCTGCATTGGTCCCCTGGTGGCCATCAGTTACACTGCAAAGCATGATGTGGGGAGTCTTGGTTGTGTAGTAGATGCAGAAAGAGGGAGGGGTAGGAGGGCAGCAGGTGCAGACCCTCAATGGCATGGAGTGCTGTTGACTAAAGAGAAGTTCTGGGACCTTGCTTCCTAATTCCCACCACAGATAAACAGCTGCCTGCAACCTTCCAGGCAAGCTAATCTTGTTAGAGCCCTGCCAAAAGGCCCTTTGACCGATGGCAAAGGAAATGTGATTATGCTTGTTTCTCAATGTCAGGGTCAAAATGCAGCTGACATTCCCAGTTCTGTGACCAGAGATGATACAAGGTGTGTTTCTACACTGCAATAAAACCCATATGGCTAGCCCATGTCAACCTACTCAGGCCGGGGAGGGGGCCTAGAAAATGGCAGGGTAGATATATGGGCTCAGGCTGGAGCCTAGGCTCTGGGACCCCATGAGGCCCTTAGGCCCTAATTCTCAGTTGTTCCATTTCAGTCCCAAGTGCAATACTGGAGGGAGACCAAGGTGGCTCTAAACCATTTTTGTGCTCCCCAGACTCCTGGGACAGCAGTGGCATGGCCCGCCTGACTCTCCAGTAGAGCACAGGGCCACTGTAACTTACACTGGGCTTTGTGTGGCTGTAAAGCAACAAATAATGGAGCCCTGAGATCCAAGTCTGGATCAAATGCAATGTCCTGCTTTTCAGGCAGCTTCGCAGTGGGTTTGACTTGACAGAAAGCAGACTTGGCCCCTCTTTGCACAGCTTGTGGCTCCTGGATTAAAATCTATTACATGCCTGGCTCCTTTCAGTACTCCCCACCCATGCTCCTGTGCTGATTCTATCAGATGTAAACCACCTGGGCAGATATAAAGATTATTTCTCTAGGCTGCCCTTTATGTCCCACCACCCTTTAACAGGATGGATGTGTGATGGCAATGTCCTCTTGCCCCGCCTGTCTGCTCAGACCATCCTTCCACTCTGTTTGGAACTCTGGGACTTTAAATTCAGAGCGATCCTGGGGCTCCACCACAGTCTCTGTGTGTTGCCCCTGGGGTCTGTATTTGGGATCTCTCCTTATGTCCTTCCAGAGATGGGGAAAGCTACACACTCCCCTTCCCGGGGGGAAATGTTCCACTCCTTGCAGAGTATATACATCACGCAGAGCTGGGCCCATGTCGGGCAGGGCTGACTCTGCCTCCTAATCAATTTTGGTTCTGAGTTAATGGGCAACTGCACTTTGAAATGATGCAGTGGGATATCCACTCAGCAGGTTCTAACGAAGGTTAATGCCATGCTGCCGTATAGAAACATGACATGCACTCTCCTCTGCCCCAACCTTCCTTCATGTGCCTATGTTTCTAAGTTTTATATGACCTTTGTATGCATACCGCTGAGCTTTGAGCCTGCATCACTGACTCTTCATGGGTTAAGTGAAAGGATCAGAGGCGTGGGAAATGCTTCCAATCTGATTTCTGTGATAGCAATCAGCTGTATGTCTTAAAAGGCTAAATGTTTCTCTGGCAGAGCTAGAACTAGAGTCTTCGTGGTGGGGATTCTGAATTAACCACCAGGAAATCCCAGACAGTGCATTTACCTCCATTCTAACCTGCCTCAGGTGATTGTGTTATGCGTAAGGCTGAGTAACTTCAACTATCTCCAAGTGCACTGATTGTGGAACTGCTCTGCCTGGTGCCCTATCATTGTTACAGATGAAACCCACCCATAGAAATAAGCCAGAGTTGTGCAGTTAACTGGGTTTTATTCAGCCATTGTCAGTCAGAAAGCTCTGTCTATATGCAATATCCTAAGGCCAGTTCATCCCGTAGCCTGTGTGGGCCAGTGACAGCCATGGTGTTGAGGCTGTTCAATGCTAAGAGAAGTTGACTTTTGTTCTCCTCCCCCAAAATGTTTAATTGTTTTGTGGGAGGAGGAAGGGGTACCAGGATGACCATAGGTCTTACATACTTCTAACTATTCAGCTGTGGTATAGTGCTCTGTGGCTGATGGCTTCCTTTATTCTTCTGTCACTGGTTTAGTCTCCTTCTGGGGCAGTTTGAATATAGAGGGTGGGAACCAGCCACCTTGCCTTGGATCACACTCCTTTCTGCTTAGCGATGCTGTGTTTGAAGAGAAGCATGCCTGTACATACTTTCTGTAGTAACAGGCCAAGGAGAAGGCAGATGGTCCTGTCCTGGGGTCTTCCTGTCAGTTTCATACTTGTCCCCACAGTCTACGCAGACCAGTAGGAAAAAAGATTCTAGCCTTGGCTTTGAGGATGCGCCCAATGAAAGTGCTGCACTACAGTCTTCCTGAATGTGCAGTCTCACAGGCTGAGAGAAAGTGTGAGGTTTCCCTCATTCAGTTCACCCCTTGGTGGTTTAATGTGGCCCGACTGAAACAATAAAACTGGAGAAAATTCAGAACCCAACTTCATAGCCTCTTGAGTGAGGAGCTTCCTGTCCCAGGTACCAGGGTTGTGATGAACAAACAAAACCCAGAGTCTCAACTCTATATCTCTCTAGAAAGAGTGTAAAGTGTGTAGTGTGATGCTAGCATTTGACAGTCACCAATCCAGGCACTGCCTGATGTGCACAGACTGTAAAAACTGACTGCAAACAGGTCTCCTAAGACAAGTCACTTTCTATGTAGGGATCAAATCAATAACAACCTTCATTTAAAATGCTGTTCAAAGGTGGGCCTCTGGGGAGGGAATTCCCTGCCTCTGACCTCAGCTGTTCTGAATGCTCCTTGGTGTATGCCCTGTCCCAAACACCTAGGACCTGATCCTATCCTCAAGACAACTTTACAATGGATTCCCCACCTTTAGAAGGTAAGAATGCACCAAATAAATGTATTTTCTGAAACTTTCTTGGGAGAGGATCCCATTGCCCACAAGTTTCTTGGCCACAGCCATAAAAGATGCAACACAATTGTTCCTTGTATGTTCCTCTGATTCAGACATTATAATGGGGAGAGAGAGATACTGAGCAGTAGTATCAGCTGTTGAGGGATTTTCTGATTGGGCTGCACTAGGGAAGGTTGCCCTATATCTAGTACTTCTCCATTATTGAGAAGCAGCAGTGGTGACTCCTGTTAGTTAAAGATGGTGACATCTAAAGCCTGGTGCTTCTGCATGTTAAAGGAACATGGGTGCCTTGAAATCAAGTCAGGTCAGAACACATGAATCAATTTAGGTTCAAATCCTACACCTGCCAGTACCTGGTTTTACAGTCGCCCTTTCCTCTGTTTACTATGGCTTTCCACTCCCTAGATTGGTGTGACACCCCTTCCCCCCGAGCTTCAGGAGTGCAAGTGTATAGTAGAAATATCCCAGCCTTTGCAATGTTTGGTGGCCTCCTGTTTCAGGGCTACTGCGTGTTCTGAAGATGAGAAGGGCCCAAGAAGTGCTAAGTATTTTCAGCTGTTCTACCTCAAGGACAGAACAAACCAATAAAAGGTGTTTAAAGAGACTCCATACCTATTCTGGGCGGAAGTGCTTCCCACACCCTAGCCTTCTTCACCTTGCAGAATGAAGCTGGTTCTCACAAATCATGCCTGCGCTCGAAAGAGAAGGAGCATCTTGCCAGAATTACACCCACTGATGCTCATAAAACAAAACAAACTGCCTTGATCAAATGTCATAAGAATGAAGTGAGTTTTGCAAGGGGCAGGAGGCTTGCTCAGCCTTATTTTCCCAAAGCTAATCATTATGTGAGTCATGCATATTTGGTAGGATAATTTTATTTAAAATACACTATGGTTGGTGTTCTGAAGCTGCATCTTTGCCTGCCCTTCCCATCTACCAGAAAAATGCTTTGCTTAAAGGAAAACTGCAGTTATTTTGATGATGGAATTAGATGAGTGCAGAAAAATGAACTTAAATCAGAATATGGAAGGTGAACCAGGCAGGCTCAGTACTGCAGCTATAAATACCTGCAAATATTTCAGGATCTCCATTTATATGAATTGGGAACCTTTTTGAGTCCTGGAGGATGCTATCAAAATAATTCTACTATGAAAAACACAGTAATGAGAAGAGGGGAGTAATGTTGCAAAACAGGATTTGTGACTATCTGAACAGTGGTGTGGAGTGACAGGGTATAGGGGTTTTGTTCTCTTTGCCACAAATACTTGTGCAAATAGATTTTTGTTCACATAATCGGGAGGGAAATGGCTCCTCTTTGTGCAAATGCCTGTGTTTGCACATCAACAAAGGGATTTGTGTGTCAATACAAGAATTCACTGTTCAAGCCATAAGTGTTTGGTCCAATCAGGATGTGCAAACACAGCCATATGATTGAGGTGACCAGTTACCCATCACTAATTGTGAATAATCAGAGATAGTTGAAAGAAGTAGCCTACAGCAGGTTATTCACAAACTGAAATCTTCTGTAACGTGACAGACGAGAATGAATAATTTTACCAAACTGTTTGCAGACAATTCAGCATCAGGAAAAAGAGAGCTACGTTCAGACTTTTTTTTTAGAGTAGTTTGCCTGGTACATGGTTTTAGATGCCTTAAAAATCCCTACAACACAGATCTCTCAAGACAGAAAGATCTGAGCTGCAGAACCATGTACCCTGCACTGACCTCCACCTTTACTTCTCTGGCTTCAGAAGATTCAGAGGGAGCCTGAAGAGTCAGAAAACCCTTGAAAATGTTACAGAATTTGTCTAAAAAGAGCTGTGAAGATCTGCAGTCCTTTTTAGCTCTGGCTGTGGTTCTTGTGTTCCTTTCTCAGTTCAGATCACCAGCCTTGAGCTGGTGCTGCTTCCTCCATTATTTTGATTTTTAAAAAACAGTAGGATGTCTATAAGACATCCTAGTGATTTAACCATATTTTACATTGTATCATGGGGTTAGAAAATAGTTAATGCTCCATTGCAGTTTTTCTTTAAAATCTGTTAACTCAAACTTCAGTTTCAATGTTTTTGGCATGCTAAGGTAACCACTGTTGCCAAAGTTAATATACTGAGTAGGTGTCTGGCTTTGGTTTGACGTGGAAGTTTAGTGTGTCAGTTAAACCAATGACCATTAATCACAGGACTCCAAGGGTGTTAAGAGCCTCAACCAACAGGCTGTCTTGGTAATGCACTAAAAGGTGCCACGTTATCTCCCAGGTGCATGCAGGAGATATGCAGCTAGTTTGAAACTCAGTGATTTGCTCATCACTTATATTTGCGTTCTTTTCAAAAAGGGACAGTGGAGAGGATTTATCTTGAAACCTGTTCTGATGTCCCCTCCCCAATGTTAATTGCAACCTGTTTGCTGTAAGGAGGGAAAGTGCAAACACACAATGAATGAGGTTGGGGGTACAACAGATGCGGAGTGCAGAGTAGGCTGATTGGAAATTGCATTACCTTGTGAGTAAAACAGAAAAGAGTCCAATCTTCTGAAGAAAGTGACTACCCATGAAATGGGAGTCTTGCCATGAACTTCACTAGGGCCAGGATCTCACCCAAAGTGTTTGTTTATGCAGATCCCAGGGTCACTGTGTGCGTGAGAGAGATTGCAGGCAGAGAGTAGCTGCTGCAGGAGAGAGCGCAGGCAGGTAGCCAGGTAACAACTTGGAGAGCACATGGTCTCCCTAGCAACTTGCTCTTGGCTCCACCTGGGCATAATTAGACCAGAGCTGGAAGAGAGATTCTCTGGGAAACTACAGGGTCTCTAATTCACCTGGTAACAGATAGCAGAATTTCAACTGGGGGATATTTAAGAGTCATCTCCAGCACCCTACGGAGCTCTACAGTGAGGCTTGCAGCTGTGCTTCCCTCTTTCAATAAAGAGGCACAGCACACAGACAAAAGGTGCCAGCATAACCTGCTTCACCTTGAGATAACTAGCCTTTGTGTTGGGCCGAGCTAGAGTATATTAACTCATTGGTAGTACTGCCAACCCCCCAAAATTCAAAAACCAGGGGTCAGGCCCCACAGATCGTGGGATTGGCTTAAAAATGGTTACAATTTTTTTTAATTTGGGTTATTTCTGTTTGCCGTGTGGTTTTTGAGACTTCAGGGAGTGCTTAGGCTCAAAAATGAGACCCTTCTCCACAACCATGAAGGCTAGTAACTTTTTCTAGTGAAAGCTGAGATTTTCACATACTCGCTTCCGGGAGCTGGAGCTTTAAGTACCAATAAATTGAGAGAGCTGGCAACAATGCTTAAAGCAGCATATCTAAGGCTGGCCCTACGCTAGGTTATAAACTCCTTGGGGCAGGCAATGTGTCTCCCTCTGTTTGTACAAGATTCAATAAACAATCTGCTGGTCCCTTGAATGCTCGGCTCTCAAGGTTGTCGTCTGAACTGAACACCGCCCTGGGGAACCGCCTGTGGCAAACAATTCTGCCCTGGCCCCTGCTTGGGTCTAGATAAGATCAGCTAACAGGCTGTTCCCATTTCTAACCTGTATGATCTTTGCTCTTGTAAAAATCCCCAAGCAACCAGTGTCTGCAGTGCAGCAGAGTAGTGGAGTGGGAAGGACTCAACTAGAAACAAGTGTCTACTTTAGCTGATTGAAACCTTTGTTTCCTGGGAGACTGGCTGCACTGACTCTCACAGGTGGGGACTTTTTGCATTTGTTCCTGTCGGGATTGCATATATTTAACTCCTTAAGGAGAAACTTTGCTTACCCTAAAAATGCTAAACATGCATTGGTCAGAGCTAAGCTGTGCCCCAGACCCCCAGCTCCTCTGAGAGGCCATGGGATGCTTTGCTTGTCCCCAGGACAGCTGGGCCATTTTTCAGGTGGACAGGATTTCAAGGTCAGCCAGTATTAGGGACTGTCTTTTTGTTCTGTGTACAGAGCCTAGCGTAATGGGGCCCTCATGACTAGGGCTCCTCGGTGCTACTATAGTACAACTAATTTAGGAGGGAAGGAGGCGGTTAAAGGTCTGTCCATAAGAGAAACCGGTGGAGGGATGCGTCACAGTGTGTTATAGTGGAGGAGTGGGCAGTGTGAGCAACCCGTTGCGGGGAGTGAGGCCTGCCAGTTGGGCAATGGCACTATGCAGCCTCTCGCTGAAACCCTGCAGCATTCCCACCGTGCCAAAGGTCCTCGCTCCTGATGGCAGCGAGCTGCCTTTGGCATGCCGTTCTTACCCTTACTCGACCTCCACCCTCCCCTGCCAAGGGCCCTCTAGCAAAGGAGTCTCCTCTCCCCTGCAAAGGTCAGGCGTCCTCCACAGGCTGGGATGGGCCGATGCAGGGTTACAAACCAGGACTAGTGCATTGGCCTGGGCGGCGTAGCCGTGTCGGTCCCAGGATGTTAGAGACAAGGTGGGTGAGGCAATGTCTGTTGTTGGACCAACCTCTGGTGGTGAGAGAGGGGGCTGAACTGGGAATGGGGGAGGAGCTGGGACTAGAGGCAGAGCTGCTCTGGGCACGAAGAGGGAATGAAGGCAGAGCTGGGCTGGAAGCAGAGCTGGGGTCGGAGGTGGGGTGGGCTTTGGGCAGAGGGGGGCTGTGGGCAGAGTGGGGCTGGGTGGTGCTCCCTCCCTGCCCCTTGTGGGTGCTGGCCTGGGTCCTGGCATGTGCCCTCCCTAAACATTCCTCTGCACCCCTCAGGGGGCATCCCTCACGGTTTGGGGACCACCGATATAAATGATCGGTAGAGGATCTCCTGCATGGGGGTCAGGGAATGTGCTGCAACTGTGTGGGTGGTGGGGACAGTGTTCATTGGGGTGACCCCATAGAAAAAGAGTCTCCCTCAGACAGTTACCTTGCTACTGAAAAAGGGTTATACAGTGAGGAGCGTCTTGTCTGAAAAGTGCTGGTGTTTCCGACGTGGGGGAGAGAGGGAGGTCTTTCTGGCAGAGTGAAATGGTGATTTTTGCTGCACATGATTCTAGAGGGATGTGGAACAATCACTGTGTTTTTACAAAATGCTCCTGCAATGCCTTGTGTGTTTTCTAAGGGATTGAAGCACATTCACGCTTGCTGTCTCACGCTCACTGTAACACACACACACATCCACACCCAGTCTGCTTAGATTTATTGCACATGCTGTTTTGTGTAATCTTTAAACCAGGCTGAAGATGGTGGAGCCTTCTGACATCGTGGCCCTGGACTGCGAAATGGTGGGCATGGGACCATTCGGAACTGAAAATGGATTGGCCCGTTGCAGCATCGTAGATTACTACGGCAACGTGGTCTATGACCAATTCATCCGACCAGAAGGTGTTGTAACAGCTTTCAGGACCCCTGTGAGCGGAGTTCGTCCAGTGGACATGGAAGGGGCCACACCATTCAGGGTTGCCCGGGAACAGGTAAGAGGAATCACAATCCAGCCTTGTCCAAATGAAACACTTGGCCTTTTGTTGGGCAGAGAGTGGCATTCCTCTCTGAGTTCTGTCCTGGAACTGGCACCATGGCATGGCTCTAGATTCATCGTCCAGCGCATGTGTCAATGTGTCACTGAACACTCCCCGCCCCCTACCACCCCGATATAGTTTTCTAGCTGAAATCTATAGAAGGTCGGGCCCAGCTGGTGAGGTGTGAGGCTGACCGACCAGTTTGGGGACATGTTTATCTAGTTTGTACAGTAACTACGTCAACAGGAGTTGATGCTGGCTGCCACACACTTTCTTGTCGCTGCTGTAGAAAAGCTAATGAGAATAATCCTGGTTGCAGTGACTTGTGGGTTATTTAGCTGTTTAGGGTCACTGCTGAAGCTGCCAGCAAGGTGGCTTGTGTTTCCATTAGTTCAGTTAAAATGGGATCCTGATCCAAAAGAGATTAAAAAATAGATAAATGGCACAAAAGAACAGGGAGCACGTGAAAGAAAATGCTCACAGTAAACAAAGGTAGGTGAATGTGCTGTCTTTGCAGATGAGGGACTGATGACGCTCTGTAGAACCCCAGGCTAGGCAAGCAGCCTTCCTCAATTGCCAATCCTCTCCCTACATTCCAGGCTTGGCTCAGCCTGGAACAGACACCGCAAATCACATACACCACTAGACTCATTGCATGTGGGTTACCAAACTGCCATCAGATGGTAATGACTTTCCGTCACTAAGGCATTGATACTTTGCTTGGAAAGATTTTGGTTTTCAATGTTAAATGCATACAAGGTATTTTTATCAAAATTAGAGATCCTCCCTCACAGAGCAAACCTGTGATCCAATTGGTGATCCTTATCCTATGACGATTATAAATTGGTATTCTAGTAGCACCTAGGAGCCCTAGTCCTAGATGAAGACTCCAGTGTGCTAGGCTCTGTACAAACATACAACAAAAAGTTCCTAATGCTGGTTGACCTTGAAGTAGGACTCTAGACCAATGATTTTCAACCTTTTTTCATTGCAGATCTGTAAAAAAAATTTGAATGGAGTTGCAAACCCCTTTGGAAATCTTAGACATAGTCTGTGGACCCCACGTTGAAAACCACTACTCTAGACCCACACTGGTCATGGAAATTGTTTTCACCGTGTAGTGTGGTGGCCAAAGTTGAAATACAGGAAGCTACAAACTAAGTCTTATGGATATGAGCACTTACAGGCCCTCTGACTGATACTGCATTTAAATAAGATACCGACAAGAAAGGGGAAACATTAAGCAAAATAAGTAATGCAGAAATAACGATAAAATACCACACGCTAAAGAAATGGAATTGAAAGAACATTTCTAAAGTGCTGCACATTAAAATGCCTCAGCGTAGGTGATGTTCAGATTTACAATTGTGATTTGTCTTGAGTATCAGATATACGAGAAGGGGCAGGTTTTCAAAAGGGCACAGCACCCATAATTGGGCCGAGGTTTTCACTCATTCAGTGCTGTTGAGTGCTGAACCCTTTTTGGTAATCTGGGCCCAATTGTGGGTGGTGAGTGCTTCTGAAAATATCACTTAAATGCATGTGTTTCTGTGTGAGGCAAAGAGAAAATGTCAGAAGCCTTCGGCAAGCATAAGTCTTTCAGAGATGGGTGCATGCTGCACCTATCCTCGTCTCTAAAAAGCCCAAAGCCCCGGTTCTGAACAGTTCCCCGGCCTTTGGGAAAGTTTGACTATGATGACACAGGTAAGGCCCAACCGTCAGGTGCTTCTCTTGGCCTTTGGGGCTTTTTCGTGGTGTGAGCATTGCTTCGCTGCCGCCTTTTCCAGATTTTACAGATCCTGAGACACAAGCTGGTGGTTGGCCATGATTTACGCCATGACTTTGAAGCACTGAAAGAAAACATGTTGCACTACCGGGTCTATGACACGTGCAATGACCGGCTGTTGAGAAGGGAAAGCGGGCTGGGAAACTCCAGGCGCGTCTCCCTCAAGGTCCTTTGTGAAAAGCTGCTCAAGAAAAGCATCCAGGTAAGGAGGAAAATCACGCCGGGGCTAGTGGGTCGAAAGGGCTGTAGCTGGTGAAAGGGGTGTAGTTTCCTGATGACCCAGTCTGGCTAGTGGAAGAGAATGGCAGGCTGGAGTATTTGCTATGAACAGCTTTACAAATGTAGTCCCTTTGCTGCTTAGCGACTCATTCAAGAGCAAGTGTGGAGTTTCTCAGAATGTTCGTGAATATTCACCTAAGTGTCAATGAATCGCTGTTTGCGTCAGATAGCTATTATCTGCATTGTTCTATCGCCTGAGTCACATGGTGGTGTTTCTGCTCCCTGATTGGATGACTGAACACTTTTTTAAGCAAGAGAATGACAGGTAGTGAATGTGTGGAAGAATATCCATTATGCTAAATTTCATGTCACTTTTAAGATTTGCAAATAAGTGGCTTTCATCCAAATACTCCCGAATAATGACTAATAGAAGCCCAGGAATCCTAGCAATGCGAACTCAAGGCTCTTATAAAAAAAATTTTTTTTTTTTTTGTTCAAATTAGCTTTTCAATCAGCTGCAATAGCAGGTAACTGACGAGCCTGTCACTGAAGTGAATTTTAACCAATGAGGGAAGGTGAGGTGACACACAGACATTTACTTCTGTCTAGCAACATGTGACGATTCCAGCTGAGCTCTGCTTTCACATCTTTCTTATTAAGCTTTTTTCCCTTTAATTCTGTTAAAAAACATTTTTCGTAGAGGGGCACCTTGCAATTTGAATCCTATAATGGATCATCCCCCTGACCTTATGTACATTCCTGGCAGCTTTTCCTCTCCCACAGGTGCTTGGATGTGGGGGAAGTTAATGGAACCATCAAGATATGCATGTGCCTCCATCCCCAGTCCTGCAATGAGCTCCGCTCCTCCCCGGTGCCCCACTATTACAGCTGCACACTCGTATGTCTATGGACTTGCCCATTATTAGAGTCAGTGAGGCTGCATGTTGGTGCAGGGGTCTGTCTGTGCAGAGCTCGCTGCAGGATCACAGCCTTGCTGAGTAACTGCATGATTTTATTGTTCCACTTGTGCTTCCTTTCCCTTTTACCTCCTCTGTCTGTTTGCATCCTTCGCTCACTGTGTATGTCTAACTGTACCCTCTCTGGGGCAGGGGCAAGGTCTCTGCTTGCTTGTTTTGCGAGGTGTCGACTCTAGATCATTCTTGGGGGCGGGGGCTTGAAACAGCAGCAGCAGCAGCAGCAAAGGGAGACAAGTGCTGACTCTGAGCTGGGAAACTCATCTCCCGGGATTTGTCACTAGTGACCTGTTGCCTACGATTCCCTGGCTCTCCTGGTCCTCTGATGGAAGTGCTGGGCTATGGATTTTCTGATGCACCCAAGTAAACTCTAGCTCTTGTGGAGCTGTTATTTGTATGGGGCCTCCAGTAGGGGATGGTGAGGAGAGGATCTGGAGTATTTTACAATGCTCAATACGATTTTCTTTTATCACAGTTCTAGCTTTAAAAGGCTGGACAAAGAAAACCTTGCAGTGCAGCAACCCCAGATTCCTGAGACTAGAAATGGGAGCTGTCTATTTCTATTACAGTAGCCCTTAGAGCAGGGGTGGGCAAACTTTTTGGCCCGAGGGCCACATCTGGGAATAGAAATTGTATGTTGGGCCATGAATGCTCACAAAATTGGGGTTGGGGTGAGGGCTCTGGTTGCGGGTGCAGGCTCCAGGGTGGTGCCAGAAATGAGGCATTCAGGGTGCGGGAAGGGGCTCCGGGGTGGCGTGTGGGGAGTAGGATGCGGGGTCCAGCTGGGGGTGGGGGAGTAGGGTGGGGCTGGGAATGAGGGGTTTGGGGTGCAGGAGGGCGCTCTGGGCTGGGATCAAGGGGTTTGGAGGATGGGAGGGGGATCAGGGCTGGGGCGGGGCGTGGGAGAGGCTCAAGGGTGCAGGCTCCAGGTGGCACTTACCTCAAGCGGCTCCCAGAAGCAGTGGCCATGTCCCCACTCCAGCTCCTATGTGGAGCCGCAGCCAGGCGGCTCTGCGTGCTGCCCCGTCCGCAGGCACTGCCCCTACGGTTCCCATTGGCCACAGTTCCTGGCCAATGGGAGCTGCGGGGGCAGCACTTGGGGCGGGGGCAGCATGCAGAGCAGAACCCTACACGTAGGAGCCAGAGCGGGGCCATGCCACTGCTTTTGGGAACCGCGTGGAGCGACCCCCGACCCTTCTCCCCGGCCAGAGCGGGGCAAGCCCCAGACCCTGCTCCCCAGTGGGAGCTCGAGGGCCAGCTTAAAATGGCTGGCGGGCTGGATCCAGCTCGTGGGCCGTAGGTTGCCCACCCCTGCCCTAGAGGTTCCATTGTGCTAGGTACATTCACTACCTGTCACATAATGAAGGACAGTTCCTTCCCTGAAGAGTTTACTGTCTAAATAGACAAGACAGAGGAAGAAAGGCTTGTAATCCCACTTTCTAGATGGGGAACAGAAACACAGATTAAGTGGGTTGGCCAAGGCCACACAGGGAGTCTGTGGCAGAGTCAGAGGTAGAACCCAGGCGTCCTGCGTCTTGGCCCTGTGCCTTCGCCAGATGAACGGCCGCCTTGTTTCTGTTGGGATTGCAAATTTGAAGGCAGAAAACCTACAGTCAGTTAAAAATTAAAATCACAGGAGCCTTAATAACCTGCTTGGCCAGCAGAAGCAATAGGTGTGAGCTAAAAATGAATAGGCACATCTGCCGGTCACTTAGCACTTCAGCTGCTGGTGTGTGTGAACTCCAGCAAAGACCCACTGATTGGTTGCAAGGAACCATTTTCACCAATGAGAGGGATTGGTGTGGCCTAGCAACAGCCTTTCCCTAATGAAAACAAGCCACTTAAACAATGTGAATGTCTGCAGATAAGAGAAAATGGCAAGATCCTCTCAGAAAGTGCCCAAACCTGGGATGCAGTGAGTGCCCTCAGCTCCCATGGACGTCAGGAACTGAAGTCGATGGGAGCTGGGAGGACTTGGGACTTCACAGGTGCGGGATAACGGAGGCAGAACCACTAATGCATCCTGCAAGGTCACTCCAGTTCCTCCTATCAGCCTCTGTGCGCCCAGAGCTGAATGTTAGCAGCACAGGAAGAATTCTCCAGGCCGTGTAGAAAAGAAGCGAAAGCTGGTTGGGAGCTGTCTTGCTACAACACTGAAGCTTGTGCAGCACTGTGGGAGAAACGCACCTCTCTGAGCCAAAAGCGCACTCTCCTCTTGATCAGAACACGTGCAGCCCGATGGATGAGACCCAGACCCAGATGCCACCAGGATGGCAGAAAAATGCCCAGAGCAAAAGAGAGTTCACAGACCTGTAGGAGCTCAGGGCATGTCCAAGACACAGCCCTTGATGGTTTTGGAATCAAGCTGGGTTAAGTGGGAATTGGACCAAATATGAGAACACCCAGCAACAGTCTGGGGGTTGCACTGCAGGTCGTGGCCACCTTTTGTATAAGCAAATTATTGCTCAGCATTCCTGTCCCCAGGCCCTGGAAGTGATCATCTGGAACTCTCTTCATGGGAAGTAATAGCACTGATGAGCTAAAGCAGGGGACCCACGCTAACAGAGCTGCCTTTGGGCCCTGTCCAGGAGAATCTCAGTTTTAACTTAAAACAGACAATTTCTAGTCCTTTTCCTTGTGCAAAGGTTTGAAAATGCAACTGATGTTAAACTGATGCAAACCAATGACTACAAATGAAATAAATAGACAAGCAGGTTCCATGCTGCAGCATTAAACCGGAGAAGAAGGATCTAACAATCCTTTGCCTGCAAAACACCCCCCGATCCTCAGCCCGGCTCTGGGCACTCACCTGTGACTGTCACAGGCAGAAACTGGTTCTGTTTGGAGGTAGCCAACCACAAATTGTTTCTGACCAGCCCCAGAATGCCTTGGCCAGCTCTGCTCATTAGTGTTCAGCCCCCTGAGTGCTTGCTGCAAGGGGAACTCCCCTCCTGTGTCCTGAGGGACCCATGTAGTCCCTGCACCATGGATGCAACTCAGGAGCAGGAGAGGGGCCAAGCTGCTGCTGTACAGAGTGGGGAGACTCAGTCCCCTGACTCCCCAGCAGCCGCCCCACTGCCAGAGACTGCAGGAAAACGCACCTGCCCCTGCTGTCACTGTGAAAATGGATGTTGGGTATGGAAGCCACCTAGATGTAGCAGGGAGGGGAAGAGGTGCAGAGCTGGAGAGTGTAGTGCAGGGACTGATGGTGCTGGGAAAGAGAAGAATGTTTTGCCCCACATCTCACTGAGGGTGGAGAAACCTTGTGGAAAGAACCCCTCGTTCATGTTTTGGCGCCACTGCTCTGAAGACCATGAAATATTGGGGAGGAGCTCTATGGAGTTTGTGAACGTCTGGGAGAACTGTCAGGCTGGGCCCTGGAATTAGGCCGAGGAGTCACAACCTTTGGGCAAGTATCTACTGTGCAGTGGGTGGCATCAAGCTAGTGTGGGGAGAGCTGGAGGGAATCCTGCCCTGCCTCATCGGGATTTCTGCTCTTGGCAGAAACAAGAGCCAGCTCTGCACCAACTGGCACCTTTATAAACACAGTAATAAAATAATCACAGTGTCACTCGGCCTGGCTGTCGAATGAGTGATGCATTCTAGGGACTGCAGAGAAGTTGTTATGGGGCTGACGCGCTAATCACAGAGCTCATTTCTATGCTCGCTACAGATTGTGGCGGAGACTCTGGAGCGCTGAGCTCTGGCTTGAGCTTGCTGAGAGCCAGTCCCATTTTGCAATCCCAGCCTGGCACCTTCTCTTCAGGCATCTCTGCCTGGAAATGGTTCTGCCTGGAATTGTATCATTATAGAAATGATACAGTGCAGTCAGCATTAACCTCCCTGGAAACCAGCATGGAAAATAGAAGTGTGGAGCTGATGGCTCCAAGGCGAGCAGATGGGAGGGCCTAGGACCAGCGGGCGAGAAGGCCACATGCTGCATACTAAAGGGCACACAGACTCCGACTGAGAGACTGTCTGACTATTCCCTCCACCCTCCCTGTATTTTCCTTTAGTAAAATCACTCTGGTCTGTTGCTATTTCAGGAGGGTGCAGGGTTCCTGCAGGGAATGTTGCAGCATCTAAGGCTCCTCTCCTTTATCCCACCTCATGATCAGAACGAGCACCCTCCCAGTCCTGAGTATCAGGATTTTTCCACTCTTTGGGGAACGGCTGGACACCATGAGTTCTACTCTCCCCTTGATACATGTGTGTAATTCCCATTCGGGGGCAGGTACCTGGTGCAAAGGGAAGAGAGGATAGGACCCCTCCCAATCCAGTATAATACTGCCCTTGGGTTGTGTATGTGCCTGGATGCCACAATGATCCCTCAGCCAGAGACATAATACACAGCTGAGGGGTGCCTTATTGTCAGCAGGGTTGTCTCAGTAAAGCCTGGAATGTCCATCTGGAGACCTTGATCTTTCCAGGCTGGTTTTGCTTGCACTACGTCACTCTTGGGGCCCTTCTTTTGTTTTACAGACTGACAGAGAGGGCCACTCCTCTGTGGAAGACGCCAGGGCGGCCATGGAGCTCTTCAAGTTTGCCAGATCAAAAGGGGATGGCTCCATTTAAGGGACTTCTTGCTTTTCTGTGTCTCATCAGGTCACATGTGCAGCTGCGCTAAAGGTTACGGGACGGGCTCCTAGTAACATGTCCAGTGATGATCTTGTTATGGGCTGAGTGAATGTCCCATGTGGGTAGGGTGACCATATTTCCAAAAGGGAAAACAGGACACCACACGGGGCTGGCCCAAGCACCCTCCCCCATCTCCCCATGGGGCTGGCCCTAGCTGCTCACCTGAGCCCCTGTCCCTATTCAAAGCTGGGGTTGCTGCTCATTTGAGCTCTGTCTGCCTGCCACTCATCTGAGCCCTGCCTGCCGCTCGAGGCTGCCGCTGCTCACTTGAGCCCTGCCTGCCCCCTAGGGTTGACATTGGGAGGGCTGCCCTTTTGCAGGGATATGACCCTTTTTCTGCAATATAAAACCACCATAATATTGCTCAAGAATCAGAGGGGTTTTGATCACCCCCGGGTGATGTGCTGTGGTCACTCATCTTGGATATATGTGTAGAAATACAAGCTCAGTATGGATAATGAACCCATCGCATTAGTCTTGAGCCAACCATCCCATGGGTGCCCAGAGCTTCTGGTATGACTAGCTGCATAACTTAGGCTCCATATGGAATAAAAGCTAGAGATCCTTAATGGCTGGTATAGGAACTAATATGTAGTGCTAAAGGGTCTTGTGAGTGTTTTGAAAGAAGTATAAACCTGCCTCGTGAGAACCGGGCAGCTGTGGATTGAGGCTGGGAGTCAGGTGACTGAGTTCTAGTCCCCAGCTCTGCCACTGAAACACTGTCCCATGTTGGCCCGAATAATTCCTGTGTCAGCTTCTCCGTCTGTAAACGGGGAGGTAGGGAGCGATGATGCTGCTTGCCCAGCTTCGTGAAGTGCTTTCAGGTCTCTGGACATGAAGTGCTATAGAAGTCTGATTATTGTTATAAATGAAGCTCATGGTCCTTGCATTGCAACACAATGTCTTGAATAAAAATAAAAGATGCTGTGAAAATCAAAATATTAACCTCTCTGCTCCTTTGACTGGTGCCCTCTTGACCTTAGTGGGGCAGGGGCATGCAGACACAATGCCGATAAGCCCAGGATAAGAACCCAGACTGATGGTATCTATCTGGTATATCGTCCATATGGATAGGGGCAGATCCTCCAAAGGTGTAAATGATCGTAATTCCATTGTAGTCAATAGAACTATGACAGTTTGCACCAGGGGAGGATCTGACCCATAAATTAATACTTTCTTTCTCCCACCTTTTGTCTGTCTTTTATATATTTAGATTGTAAGCTCATGGGGACAGGGACTGTCTCTTAGCATCCGTTTGTACAGTGCCTTCCACCAGGCACCTTTGATTTCTGGTGGGTCCTCTAAACAACACTGCAATACAAATAACTAATAAGGATAGATTGATAGATAAGGGCAGGAGCAATAGGTGACTATTCCACCACCTGCATTGCTGAATACCCAGCCCTTAGTTACACAGTCTTCTGTTTTATTTCTACCAGCTTAGGGATTTAGGGTCATGTTTGTAGAGTTGTTCACTAGGTGGTGCCCTTAGGCTGCTTATTTTTGTCTATATCATACCTACCAGCTAACAGATGGGTATATTTTACACACCTCTGGCAGGCAGCCATTTAGAGGAGAGACTGAGTTTGCCGGGGAATGTTTTAGGATGGTACAAATGTATCTGAGCAGAGAGAGAACCTAAGCAAAGTACCAGCCTTTCACTTTTCTGAGGACCCGGATTTGCACGTGACATGGGTCACAAACAAAATGAAACTTGGTCATTCTTAGCCTAGTCCAAGGCTGGCACCATTCAGTTGGGCCCAGTGCAATTTGGATCCATGACCCATGCATCAAGCCACACCCCAGCGCAGCTAAAAACCATGCTTTTTGTACCTACAACTGGGCTAATCAAACTACTCCATACGTGTTGGCCACAAGCACTTTGATTAAAAACAATGATAACACTAAAACTGAAATAACAGTGCTGTGATCGTAGTTGGAAGATGCTGAAACAGCAATATTGTGCCTAGCTTAGCTTGAGATACAACCAGGAGGGGGACAAATATTCATCTAGCAAGGGACTGTTCATTCCCAGGGGATAATTTGCAAAGGGAGGCACAAAGCACAAACACAAGGGCAATGGGGGGTGGGTGTTGGCTTTGAGGTACACACTTGTCCACCCCTCCTTTGCAAACTAGCAGCGTGTTCTGGCTTATTCCTGAGGGACATAGTTTAGTTTTTACATGGGCTTTCCTAGAAGCCAGAGCAAAAGGGGTGTCCCAACACAGAGCGCAAAACTTGATTGCTACCCAATTAAAACCACAAACCTGGTCTCTTCCAGTTCTTTGCATTTATTCAAGGTTAAAGTAAATCAGAGTTTACTGGGGAACCGAAGGAGCCTAAGGCAGCAAGGAAAGCCCGGAAGGGAATCGCACTGTGAAGGTGTAAGTTGGAAGCGTTTCCCCATCTTTCTGAGCTGGGATCTCCTTTGCCAGTTCCTAGTGTTGATGGGCTTCACATGGGGGCTGATTCTCCCCCTTCCTGCTGCACTGGTTCTTCTCCAGTGTCTTTCCATGCTGACCTCCCAGCTGCCTTCCTCTCTCTCTCTCCCCTCTACAGCTCCTGCATGGATTTCTGACATTATCCCAGACCCATTCCTCGTGCTGCAGAGCATCCATGGCTCTTTCCTCTGCACGTGACTTTGGTTTTGGAATCCCAGAGTCTTCACTTCCCTGCTTGCTTCCTGGCTCAGTAGCTCCTGACCCCTCCCTCAGACAGTTTCCCAAGGGAAAAGCTTGGGGATGCATCACTTGGGACTTGTGAAGCTAGGTTGGATAAATGGATGAGAGAGAACAATCTTGCATTGACTGGTGAAAGACTGGACTGGCAAGGACTTAATAGAGCAAATAGGGCCCAGCAGAGGTTTCCATCTTGTAAAATCTATGACTCTTCCTGCATTTCCCCCGCTCTCTATATGTGGGGTCCAATCTTCTTGCATTCAGTAGTCAGGCAGGGCAGCAGGTGCTCTCAGCACCATTACCTGATGTTGCCCATCAGCATTTGAATTTTGCACCTTTGCCTCCATTTGGCTCATGTAGACAGACATTGAGTTGCTCAGAGCAGATGAAGCAGGATTGCCCCACGGGTGGAGGTGCAGACACGATTTCCTGAACACAAGGAGTGGGACTCTCAACCTTAAAAAGCAAACACTATCCACCACCATCACTTTTAAAACCCAGTCACCACATTGCTGACATTTGGGAGGACTGGCTCAGGAGGTTAAAAACCCCTAGCTAAGTGGCAATTTTAGCCTTGGCCCGAGAAGATAATTGTTCACTTCAAAAATCTAATGAACAATAGGGCAAGATTGCCAGTCTCTGTGAGGGAGGGGCCGTGGATAGGAATAGCAAGGGATGATGTAAGTCAAGGTTGTGGGACATCAGCTGAGTAGTGTTGGGATCCAGGGCTAGAATAGCAAGGAGTGTTGCAGGTCAGAGGTAGAGTATGTTTGCAATCCCTTCATGGAGAAGTTTGGATGGTTACTGTTTCCACTCACTCTCCAGCTAACCAGTACTGAGAATTTTTCATTTTTACTAGAGCCAACTTCTCCACATTTTTAAAGGGAAAGCCACAATAAACTGAGTGGCAAATTCCACTGAGAGAGTCATACAAGGTCGCTCTGTTGTGACATAATCAGGGCATGGTAGTGTGCCACTTGATCCTTGTGTGTCTTAAAATAACAGAAAGGTGGAAAAGATCAAAGCAAGCACCACATAGGGCAACATTTGTTACCTTTTTAGGATGACATTAATATGTGGTTACGGTCAGAAAAGTCACTCTAAAAACAGTACCCACGATGCTGAATATATCTGTCCCTCAAAAGCAATTTCTGAGTCATAACTGCGGACAGAAACAAGGTTTAGCTAGTTTGGGCCCTGTAGACCCAATATAGATGTGGAAGTGTAAGCCACAAAAGCCATACGTTGTCCTGACTTACACCCCATCCTAAAATCTCAATTCCTCTTGATGAGTGATGTATGCATTAGAAAGAACGCGGCATGAGTTTAATTTAGATCATGCTGGCTGCTCGAGTTCTTGTTTTGACTTGTACAGTGGGCAAAGTCAAGCTGGAAATCACAGAGGTTGACTTATTAATCGTTTGTTTCTGGTAGCAGCCAGACCATACTGGGCACTTTCTGAAGTCCTCACAGCCTGAAGGAAATAAAATGTTACTAACCCCATGACCTTTAGTATGTCAAACCACTGTCCCTAATAAAGAGACGCAAAAAAGGTCAGGTGTCAGTCACAGCCCCCAAATGGGAATATAACGTTTATGTAGGGTCACGGACAAGACAGATTTTCCTCACACTGAAAGGACGAGCCAGCCTAGGCTCCTGCTGCTCAATTTAGTGACTCTGGGACTCTTGTCTATACCCTTCCCCCCTGCCCATGTATTTTGTCATTTTGAGGACAAGGTAGTAGATTACATGTGAAAAAACAAAAAGCGACAATTGCCACTGGGGCTCTTTGTTAACCTTTAAATCAACCACTAGTAGAGAAACGATTAGCCAAACCACAAAATAAAATTTCAGACACCTATTAAAATTATTCTCCAGCTTTGGAAAGATACACACCAATCCTGTGTCTCTGAGTGGGTACATTCCGTCCCCCGGACGCTCCCACTTGAAAGCATATTCATCTCAAGAGTATAAGGCAGAACTGTTCCATAGTGCAAGGAGGCCTACAAATAACTTTCTACATTAAAATGGCTCAGAGAACCTCATTTTTATCCCACAAGTGCAAGTTAATAGATAATCTTGCAGCCAGGTCATATGCTATTGTACCTCAAATAGCAAATTATATATTTTTGTGTCGATTGGCTATTTGGAAGCATCCAACTTAATTTCTTTTACCTTAATACAAAATGCAATCAACCCTTTTCCAGTATGTACTGCATTTAGTATCAGGGTGTCTTCTGTATGCTGGGGATGCATTTTATAAAAGGATATTGGCCATGCGTTTAGTAATATACATGGAACATTGTTTAAATTATTCCAAAGCTGGCTGCTTCCTAATATTTATTTTAAATATATATCAGGGTATAAAACCTATGGGGAATTTTATTCAAACAGGTGAAGCCATTTTAAAGATGGCCTCATATTTTGAATGTCCGGAAAACTGACCAGTGTTGTGTATTTGGATGGGTTTTGTAAATATGAAAAACGTTCCACAAAGCACCATATACTCCTTGGAAAATATATACTCCCTCATGGAAATATTTAAAATTTGAAGGGATTTGTAAGCTCAAAGAAAGCTTCCAGCTTATCCCAAATTATTCCATCCTCCAGCCATTCAACACACATTGAGTGGAAGGGCTGGATTCCCCCACAACATGAAAGACTGGAGGATTGTTCCTGAGAAGATAGATTAGCAAACACAACTGGTGCGTCCCCAGTTACTGGGAATTAAATGCGCCTTAAATCAAGGCAAAGACTCCCTCCTAGGGAGTATGTGTCTGAACTGTATGAACCAGGCCTGAACTACACAGGCATCTGCCCAGCACTCACTGAATTCCCAAAGTCCTGATTCAGCATAGGCTGGTCTCAGTGTGTAAACTGGGATGGATTCTTCGGGGGCTAATCTCTCCTTTGGTTATTCCAAACTCCTGGTCAGGAACTGGAGGGGAAGACCCCTCTCCCCAGACAATGCAGTCAGATTCACCTTTATAAAACAGGGCTGGCTAGTGTCACTTTGGCCTGCATCCCAGCTGAGAGCTCACACAGTCAGGTAGGCCACTGCGGTTGCTTGTCCAACCCTCTCCCCAGCCGCCTCCTGGGAACTACTGCACATAGGTGGTCTCTGTCTCCCCTCTTAAAGCTCCCTCTGTTGATGCTGGGCAAGCACAGAGCCCTGGGGCCCAGGGAGGAGGAGGTGGTCAGTGGTGGCAGCAACTGCTGAGAGGGGCCAGGGCTGGAAGGGGACAGAAGTGGGCAGGCTAA